TCCAGGGCCCCTGGTCTAGCATCCAGGTGCATCCACCCGCATCCATAGCATCCAGTCGTAATTACCGACGTCCAGGGCCCCTGGTCTAGCATCCAGGTGCATCCACTCGCATCCCCGGCATCCAGGCGCTATTTCGGAGCTCTTGGTCAACTTCCGTAGCATCCACGTGCATCCACCCGCATCCATAGCATCCAGTCGTAATTACCGACGTCCAGGGCCCCTGGCTCTAGCATCCAGGTGCATCCACCCGCATCCTCGGCATCCAATTACGCAATGACATTTCAATCAGAAAAAGGTATACTTCAAGCAAGGCGAAATGCCTTGCTTCAACACTATTTTTACCTTAAAAAAAGAAAAGATTGTCTCTATATGAAGGCATATGTCGTTAAAACAAAGTAAAAATTTCCTTACATTAACTTTATTCCCTTGAGAAAAAATGTAAATGCCTTACTTAGACAAAGAACAAACATTTCCTTGTATTTTTTTAAAAAATTCCTTGGTTTAAGAATACAATTGCTGAGAACATAACTGCTCGCCGTGCCAGACTGCATTTTTATGCATAACAAAGGAAAATGCAGAAGGGTTTAATGTGTATGAAGACTATCCTAACTGATATTTCAGCGTCCAGTCCACGCAAAAGTGCCAAGATATGTGTAATAATAGAGGGACAAACTCTTGCTACCCCTTTTGGCAATATGAGGTGGGTGGCTCGAGGGCAGCCCTGATGACCGTCAGGGGGCGGTCCGATCCCTGCTGCTGCTGCTGCTGCTGCTTCTGGAGCATAGGGTCCCGGAGGACGGCCTCTTTGAGCAGCGTGGGGTTGAGGAGCAAGGGGGGAATTCTTCGCGTTAGACCCGGGCGTTCGGCCCTATCAGAAAATTTATGTCCCTCCCTCTGAGAAAATCCAACTCCTCGCGGTGGCGCTGGGTGGGAGGTTCGGCAGCGGCTCTTGTTCGTTTGCTGTTTTCTTCTTATATTTCTTTTATTGCGGGAATAAATTTGAGGCCCGACTCGTCGTCCACACGCGCGTGTTCATTGTCGGAAGACTTCCTCGAATGAGAAATGGCGAGTGCACGAAGAAAGAAGAGGTGTGTGAAAAGAGAGGGGGGGGGGCTGTCTTCTTTGCGTTTTCCTCCGAAGGCGTCGCTCGAGTGGCATCATGCGGCGCGGGTCGGACTCCTTCTTAAAGCGATATCAAAGTGGAGCAGGAAAATAAAATTAGCGTCGTTTCCTTTTTCCAGCCCCCTCCCCCTTTCCCCCTCCCTTCGCGCTCTCCCCTCTCTCCCATCCCTTTCCCCGCGCCCTTCCTTCCATTCACCGGAAGCAGCACCCTTGCCCTTGGCCTTAACTTGAGTTCCCGGGGTCGCAAGTGGCACCAGGCTTTGGGGTTGAGGAGAGGTTGGGGGGCTGGGCAAGGTGACGGGGCGGTGGAGTGCACTGAAAACATTTCCTCCTCGTCGCGTGCCAATAGTTTGTGGGATCGCATGACTGTGCGTCTCACGCTCTTCACATTCTTTAAAGGAACACACAAACAAAATATTTAATAAGTATTGCCAAACTATTGGTACGTAAAGAGGCCGCCAAATCGCCAAATTTGGGTCTGCGGACGTCCCTGGTCGCCTCGAGGTCTCGAACTACGCGAGACTGCAGTGCGGGTTTGTTCAGTGGAACTCACACTGCTGCTTGGCTTCTCTCTCATCACTGCTGCTTGGCTTCTCTCTCATCACTGCTTCTGTCGTCGGTGGTCATAGCGGCCGTCTCTCGAGTGACCGCGTGGCCCGGCGCTGCCCTGGCGGTGTGAAAGCGTGCACACTAATTGAGATGGCTCTGCTCTTTTATGTCCCTCAGCCGTCCCGGGCCGAATCTCCATGCATCCTGCCCCCTGTCCCCTCGCCCTCGCTCCCCCCGAATTCATAAATATTCAGAGGGGTTAATGGGGCAAAGGCAATGGACGCGTCCTAATTCGAAATTTTTCAGCGAGGCGTATATGGGGTGAAAGGATATAATCATCACCGCAAACAGCCTGTGTGTGATAGGAGGAAAATATGATATGGAAATTATGCCAAAGAAATAGAAGCAGTGCAAAAAGAATCCTGCCATCGTTATGACGTTCAGTTCTTTCTTTTTTTTTCATTTGTGCTTTGGGCAGTGGTTAGGGGGCGAGAGGCCATAGCCAAGCCAACAGACCAAAGGCCGCCGCTAACATTAAGAGGGGGCAGCCGCCGGGCAGCCGCCGGGCAGCCGCCAGGCAGCCACCGGCCGGCCGGACTGGGGCCTTTTGATCAATCAGGGAGCGTGCGCGGGAAGGGGAGGAAGTAGGGGGGGGAGGGGAGTCGTTCTAGGATACACTAGTCTCTGACATAAGCAAAGTAAATGGAGGACGGATGAGAGGGGGAGAAGCGGGGGGGAGGGGGTTGCTTTCGGGAGAAAAGGGGGTATGGAAGGATAGGGTTGGGGGTGGGGTTTGGGGTGTCTTTCAAGACTTACAGCATTTCCTGTGGCGCTCAGGCTGCGAGTTTAACCCAACCCCCTCGCCACCACAACCCCCCATCACCTCCTTTCCCCCCGACTATGGCGCTGCTTCCCACTTTTGCATGCCGTGTGTCTGTCTGGTGCAAGCGGCAGCAGC